AAAGCCAGATCATCCACAATGCACAAACCATTTTTCTCATCAAATTAATCCAATCGACGAATCAGAAAACCTACATAAACGAGTGAGTTTGGCAAGAGACTGCAGCTTTTGCGATTCGTATCAACCTCTTTTCTTCGAAAGCATCAAAGCATAACCTTTTACACCAACATGGATCCAGTAAAACAGAGATCTAAATTAATAACTTGAACCTGTTCAAGCGATTTGCAGCATCAAATCTCTATACACTAACATAAAACATTTTTTACCTGTGCATCATTAAGCCATATGCAATATTCATACAGTGTGCTTAATTTCAACAAATTTTTCCATAACTGGGATCAAGTAACCAAGCACTAGGGAAGCAGTTTGAGTTCCGTTCGGATTGGGTAATGGGTCGTTGGCTGAGTTAGGGACAAGATCTCACCAGATCTAGCTGTGGACTTCTTCGAGCTCTTTTGGCATACAGTTTGTGGCCAGTAATGAGGGATCAGCCTTTTGTGGCTGATCCCCTCTCTCCATCGTTCGGAATGCTTTTGAGCATATGTCGTGTTATAAACCCCTGTCTGAAGGGATTGTGGGGCCTTGTCAAATTTCTGTAACCTGGACCAAGCCATAAAACAATTGGATTAAATTGAACACTGATGGTTCTTGTAATCTGCAGGATAATGCACAAGGGGCGGGATTCTTGATGAGATCCAGTGACGGAAAGTGTTTGCTGGCTGGCTGCTCCTTTTTGCCGGACACTGACTGCTGGAAGGCGGAAGTGCTGGCCATTAAATTTGGGTGGGAGCTGCATTGAATGAGGGTGTGCGACTCACCTGGAGGTGGAATCAGATGCTGAGATGATTGTTAAGCTCCTCAACAAGGAACCTTGGAAACTCCTTAACTGTTTTAGGAGTATTTTGCAACTATCTACATGTTTTTTGGGTTGTAAATTCTATCATGTTTTCAGAGAAGGGAACATAAGTGCTTAGCACATTTTGCGGTGTATTCTAAATCCGAGGAACATGGTTTAGGTAGCCAAGCACTAGCCATACAGAGTACCAGAAAAAAGAAGAGCTAACTCGAATTTTTCCTCCAACAAAGTTTCTATTAAGAATGATGATTCATATGAGAACACAAGTCCATCTAATTATTCATACCTTGTCCATGCAATGCATACTATAAACTTTTTAAAGACAACTTTTAGCCTTGAACAGAAAAGAATGTTTATATTTAAGCTCAGTGACTGATGAAGACAAAGGAAAGGAAAGCATCAATGAAACAATGAAAGCATCAATCGACGCAAATTAGAGTACAATACCTCATAACCTTCTTTTATCCTATAGCAAGAATACTCGATGAAATCAGTGTGAAGATCACACCAGGAAGTTCCCACACAAGTGTTTCTCCTTCCTACTGTCAATCAAAGCTCGAACTCTTCCTCACGGAGCGCCAATTCTGCAGCTTCTTCCTCTTCTTCATCAAGCATAAAGTACTGGTTCCTCTCCACCGGGCGAAACATATAGAACATGAACATGTAGAACAAAAGGCTCACGGTTTCCTCAGCTGCCACGCTCACCCAGCGGTACTTGTAAGATGTGATTGTCCCCGATGCATAGACGACGATCCTCGTGAAGTACAAATATCCGATCACAATGATGTAGAATTGCCGGAAAAGTGTGAGCTTCATGAGGTTCCTTGCGGCCTTTCCGTCGGTCTTTGACGTCTCACGCAGAGATCTGATGGACCAGATGATGGGGAACAGGACGGTGCAGCAGCAGATGATGTCGATGAGGAGGAACACCTGGTTCCAGGTGACCCAATCCCTGATGAAGGGTCCGGTCTCGCCGATCACCACGGAGGCGATGTTGGCGATTATCTGGAGTGGGATCACGATCATCAGCACCTTCTTCTCGCGCTCCTGGAGGAAGGGCTTGAGGAAGGACCAGCCGGTGCCGATGAGGACGATCACGGTGAACAAGAGGACGCCTTTCAGGAACTGGAAGAGGTAGAAGGGGATGTCCCAGCCGTGCGGGGTGCCGGTCTGCCGGATGTAGTGCTGGTCCTCGGCGGCGAAGACGAGGTAGAGGGCCTTGCTGAGCAGCAGCCCGGCCATCAGGTAGTGGATCCCGTGGGATGAGATCCGGTTCTGGAACAGGGTGAGATAGATCCACGCGCCCAGGAAGACGGCGTACGTGACTGCGAAGAAGGTGTAGAGCGACGGCACAGGGGACTTGCCGACGGAGAGGTAATCGCGGGAGCCGTCGGGGCGGGTGTTGTACGTCTCGGTGCGGACCGACATGGTGACGGCAGCGGCGCCGGGGCCGCAATTGGCGAAGTAGAGGCTGTACTCGTCCGGATGGGAGACGGCGAAGGAGTTGTTGAAGGCGCCGCCGGGAGGCGGCGGGGAGAGATTCTCGAAGGTGAACAGGAGGTGGACGTACGGGCTCCTGAGGACGCAATCTGGGTACGAGCTAGGGTTAGGGTTCTGCTGTGAGTCGTAGGCGGCCTGGATCAGGCTCTCGTCGGAGACGAGGAAGAAGCCGAGGAGAGAGGGGTCGACGGCAGGGGCGACGGCGGAGGAGGAGATGGACACGCCGGATAGAGCAATTGTGACGGTTCCACGGTGGTTAAATCCGAAATTCTCGAACAGGATGACCTGGCGGGAGTCGTCGGAGATCTCCAGATTCTTGATCTCCGCCATGGAAGGAGACATCAGGGAATCGAGAATGACGAGGAGGAGAAGAAGACGGAGAGATCCCTCCATGGCGATACAAACTGGATCTTTGGCCGGCGACGGCGGTGACGATGGTGGTGGAGGAAGTATATAGGCGGAGTTGAGGGATGACGGGAGTCGACGTGTCGATTTACCGGTCTGTTGTTCCGCGGAAACAGATTAGGACAGCCGGCGCGTCCGATCCGCACAAGGGATCCACGTTCGTCTTTCGTTGAGATTCGTGATGATGAGATGCCATGCACCTGTTCAGATCGAGTTTTCTACTGGTCCCGAAGAAGAACATCCAATCTCGAAGCGCCACTTGTTTCATGCATACGAGTGACATTGACAAGATTGACGGTCAGGATCCATTGGGATCCTTTGGATAGGGTTCAATGATCCTCCTATTATTGATTATGTTATTAATGGTTTCAATGAGTTATTGAGTCATAATATAAATAGGAAAAGAATAAAATCTTGGTATAATTCGGCTTGGATTCACTCGAAGCCAAAATAAGACTACAAATAGAAATCTAATTTCTTCTTTTAAGAATTAGATGTTAAGGTAAGTAATAAAAGATGAATATATATATATATATATATATATATATATAATATTTAATTCATTATCCTATCTAAATATACTAAAAAAACTTGAATTGCTGTGGAATTGATATCCAATGAGTGGAACAAAAAACTTGGCTTGTGTAAATATAGATTGCATGATCTAACATCCAAGGCTTGCTGAAAACATAGAAAGAAAAGAGACGGTTTACTCACCAAAGGCAGCTACTTCTTCCATGCTGAGAGCCATGTTTCCTGCGCAGTAGATGATACCGCTGCCTGCCCAAACTTCCCAGTAACTGAGCCAAGAAGCTTTCCGACGGTAGCGGCATCATCTCTCCTGCGGAGGAAACCCTTTGGGCGCTCCATGGAAGGCAAGAGATGCCACAGCCCTCCACACAACCACTTGCAGCAGCAGCAGCAGCAACTCAGTTTCTCATGTCCTTTGGTGCTGGCAAACACACATATATAACGCTGAAGCCAAGAAGCAGTCATCCTCACCAATTATTTTGACATGGCATGACACCCAGATGACATCAAATCCCTGATATCAGCAGTCATCAAAGTCAGACAAAGACATGGCTGCGGAGAGATACCAAGCTTCCAATGCCTGCTCATCGATGTGTGGTGCATGGTGAAAGGCGTTGGGTGGAGATAACATGGAACAAGAAGGCCACGTGTTTTTGCTGCTTCGGTTTGCAGATGCATGCACTTGTGCTTGCTTCTCTTGCTCATCATCTGACACACTGTTTTGGAATCATGTAAGTTGGGGCCGACGAGGCTTCCTCAGAATAAAGGCTTTGTCTGGAGAATCTTAAGGTGTTCAAACAAGTCTGTCTTGCTTGGTAATTGGTTCATATGTCTAATTTGTCAGCTATAATATATTTGTCACCTTGCAGTCAGCTTGGGTGGCACAGATGGAGTCTGCTGTCCACCAGCTATTAAGCATTTTTTATTATCAGAGTGAAAGATCTTGAGTTCAAATTTTATTGAGTCATACATTGAAAAGAATCCCTGATGAATTCTAATTCACATGGTAGAGAATATTAAAAACATAAAATTAAATCATGTCTCATCCACTGACATTATAATGATTAAGACATGGATGTAACTTGCAGTGAAATAAATTGAATAGTCATCTGATGGGAAACAAGGAAAACAACACAAGTCAAGGTTGGTAATGGGCTTGGGCTTAGTAGGCTTAAACTTGGTAATGGGCTTGAGCAAGACCTATCACTGACCTTGATTGTTAATAGTAAGATCTATCACTTTTCTTTTGGTTGGAAGTTTCTAAGCTGAAGTTTGGTGCAAAGCCAAATTTATGTGACACCTCCCAAATGAATTCTAAGAATGAACCACTTATAAGATCATTTAGTCCCATATTAGTTGAATATAGAAACCAAGGGCTCTCCGTCAAATCTCTTTTGCCCTTAAAGATGTTTTTTGGAGCTCATGAAAATGATAAAACCGTGTTGTTTTGGTTAATATTAACGTGATGTTTTTATGTCAAACTAATGCTCATTTGCATTCCATCTAAAAAGATAATCTTATAAATCTATATTTGAGTTATTTTTATGATCAAATCAATCCCCTACCAAACAAGACCAGTGATCCACAGAGCAAGTTATACTAGTCTTTATCCTTTGTCCACAGGTTCAAGATTCCATTTGCATTGTTGACCATTGTGTGTTCATTCTAATGCGTGGATGAGAAAAGAAGGGACCAGTCCAAGAAATTTCCAATCTTTCTTTAACTCAGAAAGTGATGGTATTTGATAGGGGAGTTCAGTGTTCCATCACACTGGTGATACTCTTCCAACGCAGTCTTCTGCTTGCCTTAAGAGCTCCTCCATAAGGTGCAGAGTTCAGCATCCTTTCCTGACCCAGATTAGTCCCAAGTTCTCCTCTCTTGTCATTGCGTTTACTGACGGGAAGAACTTAGCGTTGATTGATGATCCAACCAAACATGTTCAGTCCTGCCTTGGCAGGCACGTTGTTCTGAGATCTTTGAACTTGACATCTGTGATCTGCAGCCGACTGCTAATAATTGATCATTTAACTGGTGGATGCGAAAAGTCCTTTCAAATATCAGTTCTTAATTAGGTCATGTCAGTCGAGACTTTTCTTTGATGTACAGCAGCAGCAGCAGCAGACAGTGAATCTTTGTTCTTTGGCATGCTGTCGAACCTTATACTCGGAAGTATGAGAATAGTAGCTTGGACCAGTTCAACAAGAAGGACCTGCAGCAGTTCAGCTGTCACACAAGCAGTAGTAAGCTTCTGATGTCTTTATATCGACTCCCACCCTCCCTTTCTCTTCATTCTTCAGCTGCTGTTCTTCGATGGAGAGCATGGAGCCGTCTCTTCAGGACACTCCAACCTGGGCTGCAGCAATTATCTTCTTCTTCGCCATCGCTGTCTCCTACATCTTAGCACAGTCGATCAGTTTTGCCGGAAATGTAAGTCTGGTGTTCGCTCGATGCTGCTATGTGAAAGAAACTTGTGATGGATCCAGTAATCTTTAACTCCATCACGAAATGTTCTGCAGTGGTTCAGGAGTCGTCAGAAGATTGCACTGTCCGATGCTATCGACAAGCTAAAAGAGGGTGAGCCGAAGAAGAAGCTGTGATGTTTCAGGTTCACTTAGGGATGGTACCTGAGATCTCTGTTTTGTTCATGCAGAGCTGATGATTCTTGGATTCCTCTCTCTGGTTCTGGCTGTTGTGCAAAGGCCGATTTCACATATCTGCGTGCCGGTTAAGGCAGCAGACTACATGCTACCGTGCCGCAGATTGCAACCCAAATCCATCTCTTCTGCTGCTGGTTATTGTGTTGACAGAGTAAGCTGGATCTCTGTTTATTCTCATGTGTATTACAAGAGATGATGACGATTTGTTATTGGTTTGCAGGGGATGATTTCGCTGGTGAGTCAACAAGGGATTCATCAGCTCCATACATTCATCTTCGTGTTGGCAGTCGTCCATGTGCTCTGCAGCGTGACCACCATGATTCTGGGAAGAGCCAAAGTAAGATCTTGAACTGCTCACATCTTTATGTGATTCTTCAGTGCTTTCGGTTTTCGGATTTCGATCTTCTTGCTGCTGGCAGATGAGGCGATGGAAGGCATGGGAGAAGGAGACACAGACAACTGAGTACCACGTTGCAAATGGTGGGTAGCTCTTTTTGTTCTGAAAGGAGCCCTCTTCTTCTTCTTCTTCTTCTTCTTCTTCTTCTTCTTCACATCTTTAAACCACAAGGCCAAATCAATATAATCTGTGAAGCATATGCTTAGTTCTTCTGCAAGTTTTACGGTGAACTGTATCAGATATCTGAAATGCAAGTCATCGTTCAGACCCTAACAGGTTTAGGTTGACGAGAGAGACCACATTCGCAAAAAGGCATATCAGTGTAGCTACATCATCATCCTCCATGTATCTGTGGATTGTAAGCGTCATCTACCACTCTTCTCCAATGGCTTATCCGCATCAAGCTCTGTGTCTAATTGATTTGGAACCTCGAACAAGCAGAAGTGCTTTTTCAGACAATTCTATGATTCCGTGAACAGAGTTGACTATCTCACCCTTCGCCATGGCTTCATAACGGTAAGGCTGCACGCAGCATCGCTACTTGGTTTCAGTTCCCTGCATGCAGATGAGTTGCTTGGGGACTGACTTCTGTAAGCACTCTCAGGCTCATTTCTCCAGGCACACCACGTTCAATTTCCAGGAGTACACCAATCGATCTTTGGAAGACGAGTTCAAAACCGTGCTTACAATCAGGTTAGCTGATCTTGGTTTCATCTGCCCCGTTTTCTTTGTCATGTATGTTTGATCTTAGTCTGCTCATGTATCTGAAACAGCCCTCCCTTGTGGTTTCTTGTGGTCATCTTCATGCTTGTTGATATCCATGGTAAGATTCATATAACCGAAATCTTATCCTCATCACATCCAATGCATATTTCCCTCACTTGTTCCAACAATTGTAGGGTGGTATTCCTACTTCTGGCTGTCATTTGCACCCTTGATCGTAAGTACAACTCGACAACATCTCTTGGCACTCTTCCACTGTCAATGTCTGATTGGCCTTTTCTCTCACAGACAGTACTGGCTGTGGGGACTAAGCTTCATGTGATTGTTGCAAGAATGGCTGTGAAACTGGACAGGGAAAATACAGTCATCACCGGAGCACCGCCGGTGCAACCCAACGACGATTTTTTCTGGTTTGGAAACCCCAGATTGATCCTTTTCCTCCTCCATTTGGCTTTCTTTCAGGTATCACATCCATACTAATCCAACAAAAAAGTGACAGTATGTTCGGCAAGGTCTGACATCTTCTCTTCTTGCAGAATGCATTTGAGCTCACGTTCTTCATCTGGATCTGGGTGTGCAACCTTTGGTTCCTGCTACCTGTTGGATATGATTCACCAATTCCATGAACGAAACTTGATGAATGTTCTTCTCTTTTGCAGTATGAATTCGGCCTGAAGTCCTGCTACCACGAGAACTTTGGGATAACCATCGCAAGAGTGACATTAGCGTAAGTGATCACCACATGGATCGCACTTGTGTGCTTCCTCCTCCACAAGAACTACTCTCACCTCCGCTCACTCTGTTCCATGTCTCAGGGTGGTGGTACAGTTCCTCTGTAGCTACATCACTCTTCCCATGTACGCGCTCGTCACACAGGTAACCCACCCGTGCATGGATTAAACCCCCACCGGTCAGTCATGTTCGTCTCTCTCAGAAGTTGAGTTGTGGTGGTTCTCACTGCAGATGGGTTCGGAGGTCAAGAGATCCATGTTTGGGGAGCGGACGAAGACGGTGCTGAGAAGATGGCACGAGGACGTGAGGGTGAGGAGGAAGAAGCAACATCCTCACAGGCGTCCTCCATCTACTGTTTCACGTCAGCAGCAGGAAATATCAACGCAGATTACATCATCAACATAAATTGATTAGACTTATTGTATGATTTTTTGGGCGAAAGAAGACGAGATTCAAGCAAAGAATATTATTGATGATATATTAAAATATATATCAATTAAATTAATCAAACTTTCGATCTTGAAGTTTCCAGCTCTCAACTCTCGATAGATTACCATCAATTTTTTAGGTGTAATTAAAGATGTTTTTATACCCGTGAATGAACCCTAATGATCCTCTCCATATATTAGGGTACGTTTTTGGGTATCGTTTTGTGGGTGCAAAGGAACCTCACATATACAGACAAATACAACATATTCGCCTGCTTTGTACCCACCTCTCAGGCTTTGACTGTGGATCCCACGAAGAAAGCTTGTAGAGTGCCAATTATTACGAGGGTATTACCGTGGGCAACGAAGTGGGTAGAAAGAATAATGCTTCTAAATAAATAAGTTCTTCTGGAACCCAAATTTTGTCTCCACTTTAATTCTCGCAAGCCTTTCGGTCAAATATCGATCCACCGATCGGAGATGGCCAGGGGGAGCTCGCAGTCGCAGACGGCGGCCTCGGCGGGGGGCGGGGCGCGGCCGGCCGGGGCGGTGCCACGTGGAACGCCGGCAGCTGCGGCGGGGATGAGGCGCCGGCGGCTGGGCGGGGGCGGAGGGGGTGGCGGCTTCGCTGGCGGCGGCCCCGGTGGGGGGGCCAACATGCTTCGGTTCTACACCGACGACGCGCCAGGGCTCAAGATGACGCCTACGGTGGTGCTTGTGATGAGCCTCTGCTTCATCGGCTTCGTCACCGCGCTCCACGTCTTCGGCAAGCTCTACCGCCACCGGGCCGGCGGGGCTTGATCCGACACTTCCGCCGCCTCCCGATCCATGGGCATTCGCAGCTGTGATTCCGTACACTTTGGTTGCTTGCTTTGATTCTCTTTGCTGAATCGTCCCTCTTGTTCTGTCTTTTGGGTGCTTTTACTTCTTGCTGTTCTGATCTTAGCGCATGGATGAAGCGTACTTGAGAACAGGTTTCTCTTCTTGCAGGTGTATGCAAAGTTCTGCAATGATCTGTTAACATATACCTCTTCGTTTGTTGCTTCAGATTTTGTTCATCCAGTGGGAGTATTCTTGAGAAGCGAACTGATTTAGTCCTATGCTTAATGAAACAATTAACGTAATGCTCTATCTACATCATGTTTGGATCTGATTAAGGCTTATAACCAAGAAGCAAATCCAATTCTCTTAGTACTCTCCATGTCAGTTGAATCTTAGCATTCTGGCTGTTTACTTTGATTGTCCATTGCACCTAGTTCGATAGATTCAGTACAGTCTTATTCGTGTGACACCAAGAAAAAGTGTTATGGTTCTTGGTCGAATTGTTTGTCGTGGAGTTGTGAAGCTGATTTATAAAGAGACTTTCCTGAAGCTGTGGATGGTTTGAATATGTTTTGATTAATGATTATAGCTACAGTCTCCATTTTTCTTGTCAGCTCCTTAATGCCTCAAGAACGAGAAGCTCAATGATCTTCTCTAGAATGGAAAGGGGTAGAAGCAATTGGCAATTAAGAAGTGTAGAGATAGGAAAGATTCATTGGTGATAACCTTTAGGTACTCTTTATACACTGGTAGATGAGTATCTTCTTCGATAGGTGACTCTTGGAATTTAAGAGGCCTTCATGCTTGCTCGTTTGATGCCAACTCAGTCCTATTAATGTGGCATGCTGATTAAGGTAAGGGACTTTCGATTGGGTTTTATGTGGTGACTTGTTCCAAATATCTATATTCTGGAGGCTGTGTTAGATTAAATAAGAGAAACAAAGTTGTATCGAATACCGACCAAAAGAAAAGAGAATGGCATCAAGTAAGTAATCCTTTTGTCTTTAATATTGTGATTTTTAGATAGAGCTACTACAGCAAAGATTCAGTTCTCTTCTAAGGAAAGTTGCAAAATTAAAAAAACATGCTATGTAATGATTGAACATGAGGATGGTGTTTATGTAAAGTAGATAACATTGGAGAGTAGCCAAAGAAATTGGAAAGTTAGGTTAGTTTCTGGTTTCAAAGATTCCTCTAATATATCTTATCATAATTCTTGGTTTAACTTAAATGGCTGTTGAATAGCTACTTAGTGGATTGGTGAAAACCAATCCAAATTTCTTTTCCTATTTGACGAGAGCCAGTTGTGTTTCTGAATGTGTATCTGTTACATATTCACCTTAGGACTGCAAAGTTGGTTGCTTGAAATTTGATACTGGGATACAGAAATGATTTGAGATCAATTGATATCCAATATCAAATCCTGTTCAAGACATTACGAGTACCTTAAATAACCTGATGATGCATAAAGTGGTGTGTTCATGTGCAGCTCAAATGGCTGAACAATTATGGCATAAACTTCAAAGTAAAGCACAAAGAGAATTCCCAAATATCTTTGTTAACTTGAGGGTTTCTTGCTAGATGATAAAAGAAGGCGAGAATTTCTTTTGTAAGAAGATCTTTAGGATTTATTACGGATCATCATGTCATGTTGATCTGAAAGGAAAATTTATTAAAAGTTTGAGAACAGGTTATATTTTGTGGATATGTGCTTGATATCAAAACATACCTAGAGCAAAGTTACCTTGACCAGTCTGCCTGAGAAGTTAAAGTAGACTATGAAAAGTGTATGATATCGGTATGATAATGCTCAGTGGGTTCACTTCTTGCAAAGGTTGTAAATCAATGCTGAATTGCCTTTTGGATGTTTGGAATACAAGTGGTTCTTTTGCTATATTGTACTTGTATAGTTAAAATGCTGTGCTATTTTTAGCTTTTCAATTTCCAATTTCCAATTTTTAATTTTCAATTTTTCACATGAAGCAGGATTGCTTTGCTCATCAAATGACTGAAAGATCTGTTCCACATCTTCGTTATTTTATCATTTTTTGTTTTCCTTTGAGCGATGTATTTATAAAAATTATTTTCATCCAGTAATATTGTGGTACAACTTCATGCTTTATATCTTTATATCCTACTGTCTTAACATGCTTGAAGAGACTTCTCCAGTCTGATTTAAATTCAAGTTTCTGATGTTCACGAGGTCAGCTACTCCCAGTTGTTCAAAGTTAATTCCTGAGAGACCATTGCCATTTTTTCCTGCAGAGCCAACATCTTTGTATACTTTCCTTCCAAGTATAATTATGTTTGAAGTGTACTCCTCTGCTTGAACCAGTCTTCACAGGCAACCACAACAATGAAGAAATGTAAAGGTTATCAAGGTTTGTCTCCTTCAGAAGTTTACTTGTGCCAATTAAACCTTGCATTTACAGCTCAATACAAGTTTCATTGTTGGTTGTGGTTCATGCTGGTCTATAAGACTTTTCCTTTCTCATTCCAATATGATATGGTCAATTTGCAACTTGTATTACACATCTAAAAGAAGACAGTTTGGTCAACCAGTACTTTAGTTGTTGCTTAGCTTCTTGTGGTTGGTTTAACTGAGTTGCTTAAGCTCAGCTGTACTCGAGCTTTATGATATGGTTTACTATATTGTTATTATTTATTATACACAGTACATATCTTTATCAAATTAAAGATCAACAAAATGTATGGTAGATTCCAATATGACTGACAATCTATGAACACTGATTATGACAGCATACCTAAAGAATAAACGTCATCCCTTTATATATGAATTATTATTTTGAAGTTGATAGAAATGACAGGATTTTATTTTAAGATCTTATGATAATCTGAAAATATTTTTAGCTGATCAGCACATTATATATATATATATATATATCGAACGTTCTAACTCATATACATCATAATATCATTAATAAAAAAATATTTATATTTTTTACCATGAAATTAATAAAAAAAATTCATATGATGATTTTTTGAATTCTTAACCTAATTTTTGAGTAAGAAGTTGCCAAATCTTATTATAGAAATTTATATGATTAATATCATCATAATGAAATCCACATGGAGCATTATTCAAATCAAATTTCATATTAAAGTAAGTTTGTTTGAAATAAAAAATTCAATTATCCTTGGTTATATATGATTAAGAGCCATCATCAATAATAGAAACAAAGTCATATCTTAGAGATCTAGTAGTACTTATAAAAAAATCCTCTAATATATAGTTTTAGTCACACTGTCCCATGCTAGTAATGCATATCTTTAATATTATAATTATTTGCCAGAAAAAATCTTTCATTATTTTTTTTCAAGAGTCTAAATAATCATTTTAGGATATAGGATAGATTTCATTATATATATATATATATATATATATATATATATATATATATATATATATACACACACATAAATTTAAGATGATATAAATTATAAGTTTGTAAAGTCTCTTAGGTAAATCCCTTTATCCCTTAAAAGAAAAATAAAATGATATCAATTATAAAACAAACAAAAATAGTATAAGAGGTGCATTATCTGTAAATCACATATTATATGTAATACGAAAAAAAATTTATGCTATGATTGAAATCAAATAACATTGAATCAATTTTTATAATGCGTACCTTCGGATGTTAGATCTTTGTGTGATTTGGACACAATCTTTAGATCTCAATTTGCAAGAAGAATTATATTTTTTCCCTCTTTTTTCCTATCTTTTCACAATATCACTTAGATTGATCGATTATGAAGGTTTTGAGAGATTATAATCTCTCAACAGTATTCTTTATGATATGCAGGTTCTGTCTATTTATAGACGAGAGCATAGAATCTATGATAAATTATTAAAAAAAAATTTCTTATCAAGGACATCTCCTAACGAATCTTATCTTAATTAGATTTACTTTCTATTAGCAAATAACTATAATCATAATCCAATCATATCCATAATATATTTTACCTAATTAAATAAGATCACATAATGTAATATTTTCTAATATAATCAATAAATTTATTAGAAATATTATAAACTTGAAAAGTTATAATAATAATAAATTTTTAAGGTCTAATTTAATCATAATATAAAATTTTTTATCATTATAATTATAAATAAAGTGTGTAATCTCTCTAGTTATTAAAATATTATCATGAATATTTTTTATCCTTAATAAAAGTATATTATTCTTTCGAAATTAAATCAGGAAGCAAAGGTTTAATTCTATTGATTAAAATTTAGTCAAAATCTTGTAACATTAAAAATTAATAATCATGAAAGAGTTTTTTATCTTAGGAATAGAAACAAAAAACGTTTTAATCCATTCATCCGTCCATCCATCCTGTAAAATAAGAAAATTACCAATTCACCGTACACGTGGAGAGATCAGGTAGGCGAGTACCGTGTGACACGCTGCCACCAAAGCGCGTTCCACTTGGGAATCCCAAATAGGCGTCGGCCAGCCGAACGCTCTCACCGCCCGAGGCAACCTCTCACCCGCGGAGCACGACACCGCAGCCGCTCCTTTTCGCCACGTGGTGCTTTCCTTTGTTCTTTTCGCGGCCCCACCCAAAGAGATGTTGGGAAAATTATATTACTTTCCTTATTATTAATAAAAATAAAAAAGGAGGTCTTTTCCAACTTCCGCAGCGCCGTTCGCTCTATAAAGCCCAGAGGAAGGGGGCAAGAAAGCACGAAGAGGAAGCCCACGGAAGGGATAACGACGACGAAGCAAGCTTCCGTGTCCCCTTAGCCCTCCTCTTTGTTCCTTCTATTATTCCTTCTCATCTCCCCCAATTTAGTCGTGGCCTCGGATTGTGAAGATTGATACCGGATTCGTTGTCGAGGGCGTGAAGAAATCGATATCAGATCGGTGTTTTCGGTAAAACTTCTTCGTTCCTCTTTTTCGTTAGGTATTGATCTTGATTCCTTCAATTGTTGCTGCTAATCTCTGCTACTCCGTTCTGGTTATCTGCAATTTCAAGAACTTACATTCGATAGATGATGGTGAGATCCTGGTTAATCCCCTATATTTTGTCCTCCATTTTTCTTCGAAAGTAGATTAGAAGCGTATATGTTTGATGATCAACGATTTGTCTAAGGGAAGTTGTGATCTTGTTGAGATTTAACTTAGATCGTTAATTGTCCCTGCAAATCTGTTTATTGTTTCCTTTCTTGCAGGAGATTCCAGTTTTTCATAGGTTGGGAAGTTGATTAATCCGCTACTCTTTTGGTTACTTAACTAACTAGACGAGATAAGGTTTCGTCCTTCGAATCTTGGCTGTGTTAGGCTTCTCTACTTTTGCGGTTGTTTCTTCCAAGTTTTTCAGAAGTTACCACGCAATTTATGTGCATTTATATGATGCTACTCTGCATATTTAAGAACGCTGATAAGATCTTGGACATTTGGACATCCGTGTGTTGTAAGAATATATTAAAAGCTAGTAACTTCTAATGGTAGTTCTTCCAAGTTTTCCAGGATTGATGGTATCAAGGGACTGCGTTCATGTGTCATGGTTTTTGGAATAGGAAAAGCGAATATTTTTCTCTCAAAGCTTTCCGTGTAAAGCTTTTGTATCTCTTGTTTGCTGCTAGAGCATTACTTGGCTGATTTATCTTCAGGGAAGGAGAGTATACATTTCTATGCCAGATATTGAGGGAATGACTCTAAGGAATGTTTCCCTATGGATAAGTTGAAGGAAGCAGAATAGCTCATCAATCCTTTTTAGCACTTCTTTCTGGTGGTAACTAAACCCTTTACTTATATGGAGTATCTATATTTCAGATTGATTTGACTTCTTGGGTGCAAAACTTATCTCTAGCATGTACTAAGAAGCACTAGCTGTATACCGATCTGCAGCTGTTATTTTGTTGATGTGTTTTATGCGTCACTTACAAGTAATAATCACAACTTTGACCTGACTATTTTGATATGTTGTAGTTAAGAGCATAAAAAGTTAGCTTGTTAAGGCTGACCTTCCTGAATTGGTAGTCCAAATTATCAATGTTTTTTTTTTGTCTCATCGGCATCTTCCTGTGATCCATTTTGACTCCTTCAAGTAACATCTATCAGTTTATTATTTTGCTTTTGTTTCTCATGACATGATAATGACTCTTAACAATTTCCCCCTATTGGTTTTTCCATACCTTCATTTTCTGCTACAAGTATCACCATAATTCACCATCCATCAGTTCTTTTGAAAACCTCAATCAAAAGCATCATTGCCAATCCTTTAATTTGATTCCCACTTATGGCCGTGTTATTTCTCTGCATATCACAGCACTCACTGGATTAACCTCAGTCTATGACATGATTACTGGATAGGCTTATCAAACCTGGCATGTGACATGGTGTTATGACTGTTTGGAATACAATCGGTCTCATGCAAAGGACTTTGTGCTGTATCAATAGCTCTATTGTTCCATAAACATGTCCTACATTTGATCTTCTTCACATATTAGATTCCCTCCTCAACATCCAGGATAGACATCATTTTGTTTCAAATCATTGTATTTCCACACCAACCCCAACAAGTTGAGGCATTATAGATTATTGTTGTTATCCTTGTATATCATCATTAAATAAGAAATGATCAATTCAGCATTTTGTTCTAGAGATTGTATTTCTGCTAATTGCCAACGGAAAATATGACTAATTTTGGCAATATTCTCATGCACTATTTATCTGAATTATGATTATGGTCCTAATCTTTACCTTCTCAGTTAATCTATATATTTTTTCATATCTCAGACATTGATCTTAATATAAGATGCCTATTTGAGCTTGGAATAGCTGGTTATCTCATATATTATTAACCATATTTACTCGTAAGCCTAGATTAGTCATAATCTGCATTTCCAAATTTTTGATAAGAAAAATAATTGAAAGCCTCTTATGGTACGTTCTAACTTTAATACTCCTTTTAGTCAACTCATATTATGCATCCTCTCTTTACAATGTGATTGTTTGCCGAATTAATGGTCTCGATGGGTGATTTGTACTATGGCAAACTTAATTGAACCATTTGTAGGCATACTTATCCCCACTATCTGTTGATGTTTTCTTATCCTTAGCTTAATATTGTTATATATAATTGCTTATAAAAAAATATATGATTACTTGTTGGAAGGCAGGATGATCTTTCACTCTTAAGTATGGTCGAGAAGTGTCAATGCTATGGCCCCAAGTTTTTTCACTCTTAAGTATGGTACCTGTTGAAGTTCTTCTAAGGTTCTTTAGACTTGCCATCTGCACACTTTCAACCTTTTCAGATAAGTTGATTTTGACTACTATTGTAGATTCATCGTTGGTACTTGGTAGTTGGTACATACAAATGATGCTTTGGCACTAACTTCTCCTTAAAAGTTCTTGTGGTACAGCATATCCACCAGATAATTGATAGTGTTTTGGACGTGAATATTCAGACAGGTGAGGTGCATTAGATTAACTTGACTGTTGCATCTCCTACACAATGGTAGAGCATCTCTCATCATAGACTACATCTGAAATTTGTCATTACTTCAGGTGGGGTTCTCTTTTTTCCTTATAGGTGGTGTTTTTCTAAGGTATATAGAGGACATTAATATTTGTGCTTTTCTTGATTTGTAATGTCACCCCAACATATCCGTCTATCAAATCGTAAATGTTATTTTCGTTTATATGAGGAAGAATCAAATGAACAGTTAGTTTGAAGAGGGATTGCAACATGACTCTCATTCATAGGTCAGGCTTTTTAGGTAAGGTTATTTGGGCAAAATTCCTGATAGTTTTCAACTGAATTATAACTGCTGTTGCAGGAACTTTGTTGGCCTTAGGGGTCATGGAGAAGAGGATGTCTATTTATGGATCCTTAGTTGCCGAGCCCATCTGGAGTTAAACATATTACAGCAAGACAATGCCCAGTGCAACAATCTATGATTTGGAGCCTTCACTATTTGAACTTGAACAAGGCATTACGTCAAGGTTGTGCTGTATAACCCTTAGATGTAGCTTCTCTATTCTTGGGTGCTACATGCGGCATAGATGACGTCAGTAGCATTGGTGATGATGGTCATGGATCATTAGATAGATACTATGATGATTTTGCAATGAAGACAATATATTATATCCATTTTCTGTGGTTATCTTCATAATCTTTGGCTCTAAGTATGAAGCAGAGAGAGAGAGAGAGAGCGAGAGCGAGTGAGAGAGGGCAGTATTCTTTTCAATCTAAAGACTTCTTTTACTGATCTAGGCCTGCCAACTCTTTATGTGATCCTTCATTCCCTTGTGCTTGTCTAGAGCTGGAACCAATTGTTGGGGAATGCATGAGTCTATGAAAATTTTGTTTATTCTTCTTTAGCAGATCTTTTAGGATGAGGCCTGATATTTCTACTGGATTTTGTGAGGAAAAGTTTGCCCTGGCTTTGAGTTGGTAGGCATTGGCAGCAATACTTCCATATTTTAATTGGCATCATGTGATGTTCTGGCCAGGGATACTTGTGAAGATTCTGCATGTGGTTCCAGGGGTATTTGAATCCTTCTGCTCCACTGGATGTGAGGATCAATGTTTCTCCTTTTGTCAATTGTTAACAGGGTTAACATGACTAGATCAGATGGAAGTGAAAGGCCTGAAGACATCTTGTAAGGAACGTGTCTGTTGGCATCTGAGCATCATTAACAGAATCACAACTACAACAGCTGCATGTCAATTGCTTAATGACATGTCGTCATCTAGTACTGTGGGATTTATTGGAGCTGTAGTGCATTAAGCAGGATTTTTTTCCCTCATCATGTGAACAATTCCATGATGTTTAAGGTTTTGTCACATTGCTTTTAGTAATGGTGGCTAGACTTCCTTCTTATAGGAGGTCTTGTTACTGATAACTATTTCATATTTCTCTGCCTTTTGTAATGATGAGGTATCAGATGATGTAATTGAGTTTGTAACAGAACTATGATAACTGAAGCTAAATTTGTTGAGTCATTACTCATTTGAAAAATCTACAGAAGGTTATTTTTTGGAGTTAGAGCAACACATTACTTGTACAAAGTTGGCAACTTGGCATTATCATCTATCCTACCATTTGATTAAATGGTGAACAGGATCTTTGAGGTATTTAACAAGTCAAATGATCTATGTTAGACATCCAGAGGATACAATTTTAGTCTATACATAGCTGTGGCATTAGAAAGTGGTACTCATAGCACCATCCTTGGACTATTCAGTATACAGTATTTGCTCAGTCTGAAGGCTGTGCAGTGACTTGTTCTTATTCTTAATTGAATTGGTAAAATTCATATCAGATGCTTACATTTATGATATGGTGACCTTTTGCATCTTTGTTATACTGTGAATCAAACAATTAGGTGTACATATCTTAGCATTTTAATGTAATTATGAAAAAGCGAGACCAACCAATTTGTCCGCTATCATTGTTTGGTTGGGAGTAGCTTTATGGTGAAAATATTTGGTATTTACAATTCAAATTTATTATGTATGGCTACTATCTGTAGTATTCTAAAGCAGAGTAGGTATTATAGTCTGAATCGATTATAAAGCAGAGTAGCAAGTATAATCCGTGCCCCTTTAAAGTTCCTGAATATCATATTTACATTGTAAAGTTACAAATGTGAACATGTCGTGTATCTTCTTGAGATAGAGTCTGTATAAACCCTTTAGAAAGTCTCTGTAATTTCCTACGTTTGGAAAGGAAAGCAAGGGGATTTTTTATTCCTCTCTTCTGTTTGTTTTGATTTCTTCATTTCTGAAAGAGTATGACAAGGAATAATTATCTGCTTCAGTTGGATATGCATGTATTATTGTGGACAAGCTTTTGATTGGTACTTTCTCTCGTCTCTCGATGACGGAATATTCTACATGTTTATCTGTTCATACTCTTCTTTACCCTATTTCTTAAGTGTAAAATGCAACTTTTCAATCTTTCTTCTATTATCATTTTGAATTTTATAAATTTAAGTCATTCTTAAGTCCCTCTATCATCCTTGACTTTTTTTAAATTTATAATTTTCCCTTTATCAAGAACTATGGTGGAATTGGTAATTGTCCAAGTTCTGTAAGAAGACTAATATAAGTGTCAGGTGTTTTTTGTCTTCCGCTGACTGATTACTGATAAAATATATGTTTTCTTTTAGTTGTCAATTCTGTTATTTGCTCCTGTTGCTTATATCTTCTAGTGGTTACAGTTGGCATTTGGGAGTCCGCTTTTCATCATATTTATTTTGATATGCAAAATGCAATTCCTTTTAGGCTTGCAGAAATTTCTTAATGTTTTTTCACTTGTATCTCGTGATTAATTCACAGTTTAGTTTGCCTTGGTCTTTGGAAGTGTGGCTGATACACATTGATTCCTTGAATACATAAGAATATGTAGGTATAATTATACTATGTTTTTGCTACATATTTTTATATTAACAGAACTCTTCTGGTAGGTGAGAGTCACAGTCGATGTTGTCATATTGAAGTGACAGGTTTTTTTACCTTGTTTAAAGGGCACTGGAGTTTGGACAGGATAGTTAAAAAAATTTATTTGCAACTTTGTATCTTTAATTTTTTCTATCATCTTTAGTTCCACATCAATATGGAGATGCCAGTTGATAGTTGGAAACATGCAACCTATAAGTGTTTGGGGCAAGAGCAAATCAGCGTCTTATTAACATTTACATGTTATATGCTCTTAGTTTCTGGTAGTACTAATCCAAGTGCAATGTGTTTTTCATATATGTGATAGCATCCATATGTGTGAAATAACGTCATCAATTTAGAAAGGAGTTGAAAATGCAAATAATAAGCAAGGAAAAAGGGACTAACATGCACAATTTTGTGTTTTATCAATTACATGCATTTATTACCTTCTGTTGCATCATGTAGTCTTATTAATTCAGCATGCAGAAAACATATATTTGTCTTTGTGCAAGATGTATTTTTCACTCTTTAGAGGCAACTTCTGTAAGTGGCTGATGTTTGTGACAAATATATTATATTACTGTTATTATAATTCCCTGGACAAGGCATTTTTAAGAATATGGGATATATAATTTGAATCATAGATTTATTATTCTTGGTGTTCCATTCTCAAAGTATTGGAAAAAAAATGCAGTTGCATATTAAGATAATAAGTAATCATCAAATAATTAGATTTATTCCTGATTTTCCAAGAAATGGTCCCTTTTCTAAAGAAACTAAAATAGTTGCAGAATGTTTTTCTCTCACATTGGCTGGGACTAATGAACTTCAGGGGTTTGTTTTTTAAACTCTTTTTACATATATACATATATTCAGGTGGCTGCTTTGCACATAATTGAACAGATACTTGTGATGGCACTATGGTTAGTTTGGAACTTTAATGAGGTTGTGCTGAAACAAAATTAAGCATAGTTTAGAGACTTTAGACATCCAGAAGGAATTCAATGAAGATATGGTGTTGCTTGGCACTGAATTTCACTGAACACATTTGTCCAATCAATAACAACGAATTAGAGACCCTGATTTTGGCATTCTGGAAGATGCAGAAACATTTCCTACTTAATTGACTTATATCAACAAATAAACAAGACAAAGGAGGATGCATCTGATCACAAGGGGATACATAATTGCTGTTGGGATGTGCTGCAATATCTAGGCATTGCCAACATTAGTTGGCAAAAAAAGTTATGTTTGATTATTCCGTGTTAGACATCTTCCAAGACACTATACACAGATATATGTAGCAGTAACCATTTGTTATTTGAAAGTGATATCTTTTACCTTTTTTTTCTTCTCTTTGGACAGCATTGCACGTTCTATGTTTTATTGATTAATCATGTATTGGATTGTTGTTGGCCTCTTATGGAGCTCAAGGACATTTCAGCCTGCCAGAGAAACTTAAAGTGGCTAGTTTGCTGCATTTTCGTGAAAATTTTCTAGGACTGTCTATAATCCATACTTGAAGATTGATCAAAGTATCTAGTTGAATCTGTATGTTTTCTCATATATTTACATCTGTTAGGCTTTGTTTAAGTTGCAAAAAAAGGGGCAACTTAGCTCTTTGAGAAATTAGAGGTTTTCTTCTTGGCCTTCAGTTCTATTATTTGTCATCTAGATGCAAAGTGAGATATAACAGTAGTATCAAGGTTTGTGGTCTCTGCTGTTATCTCACTTTACAATGATTCTGTCCTATTCTGTTGTAATGAGTTCATCAACACAGTATTCAGCATACGTAGTTGGAATCAAGGTCCGCCATACCGTATCGTACCGGAGTTTCGACCCGGGCTCGGTACGGTACGGTACGGGTGTACCGACCGGTATACCGAGGTGTACCGAGCGGTACACCCGATTTTACCGATTTATCCCTCCAAAATACCTGAAAATTAGAAAATAAAAGTTAGGATAGGGTTTTCAAGTTACAAATAAATATAGTAATAGTATAAGTTTAGCAAAATCAATGTAAATTAGGTAAAAATAGTATCACATATCTTTTTCAGGCTTTGAGGTAGTCTTGTTCGAGGTTCGTATTTCAGCTCGTTATAGATTGAAATATCTACAGAAAAATCAGTTGAATTGTTAGACTATTTTGTTATAATATAAACTCTAAAATTCAAATGAAATAAATTATCACATATCTAGATATACCTGATTGTTGTTCTACCACCAAAACGAACGACGGGCTTCCACGGGTGGTGGATCGGGGTCCTCGATCCGATACATATCAATATGATACGTTTGTTGGACCCAATCATGAAATTGATCCCATGATATAGTGTATTGATACACCGTGTGTCATTGATGCATCAATGTGGTGCTGATCGTAGACTG